AAAAAAAAAAAAAACGTCAGTTCGAGGTTAATTTTTTTTTTTTTTTTTTTTTTATCCGCCGGGAGCGAGCAATATGGCGCGCAAATTTTTGTGCAGACACGTGGCACAGGTGCTGCACTAACCAAGCCACTACTTCCCTGAGGGGAGCGGCAGCACGTATAAGGTGCCTATGGTATCGATGCCCAAAATTTGTATGTCGTTCTTCTGCGCCTTATTTGTCCTGCCAGGCTTGCTCGGCTTGCTGCTCCTGTTGGAAGCGTTCTCAGTGAGTAGATCTTCCGCGTCCGGCTGGTGGTAGAACTGCGCCAAGCAGATGTTGTACTCCCCAGGGTTATTAATCTGCAGACGGTGTGAGGGGATTTGCTGCATGCCATTTTGTGTATCCATTCAACACAGTGTGTGGTCCTCTCTCCTTCTTGCCACAGATATTCTACACCGATCGCGCCTCCCATACCTTGATGTTCTCCAGGAGGATCTCGTTGTGAAGCAATTTCGTGAAGACAGGCTCCAGCAGTATGCCTTCGGATTCCAAAATGTTTTTTTCGATGGTGCTTGGGCTGCGTGTAGGGGGGAAGCGAGAAATAATACAATCCGGTGAACTAGCAGTCATGCGATGGTTATACTGTTGGGCAGAGCGAGGAGGGGAGCAAGCACCCAGCGAGTGACACTCGAGTGGACTCTCCAAAAAAATTATTTTTGAATATTACGAGCACGTGGATCCCTTATTCACAACGAGCAGCTGCAGACATTCGTGCAAGTTGTATCCCTATGAAAGGGGGGGGGGGGGGCGGAGGAAAGGCGGGGAATGTCGCAACGGGTGATGTTTTCGCATGTGTCTCTCCTGACTCCAATCTTTGCGCAGGTAGGAACACAGAATAGACCCCCAATCGTTGCACCCTATTCGTAATAAAGATTTTTTTTTTTTTTCTTGTTCCAACCCGAATGGTGATGAACTGAGGTGTTTGTCCGCGTCCGCCCTGAAAAAGTGACGAGCATAGTTGCGCGTGTGTGCATGTACATAGGGGGAGGAATTGGCCCATGTGAAAATAACCACTCTCAATAGGGGTCATTTCACTTCAACGGCAAGTACCGAGGCAAAGATAGAATATTTTTTGTTCCTCTCCGGCTCAGCTATGGCACAATGGTGGAAGTCCTGCAGGATGGGTGAGAGGCAACGCAAAGGGAGGAAAAATATACATATGTATGCATATACATACCAAACACTATATAAAACAACGCCAGTGAATCATCCAATGCTTTACAAAAGGAAAGTATGAGGGGAAGGGGATGATATAACCCCTCCCCAATGGATGTTCTTTACTAACACTTGGACATGTGCCTCTGTGCAGGTCCACAAACGGCTCGCAGATTTTTTGAATTTGACTTCCCCTCTGCTCTAATTTCTGCAACGAGTGGAAGGAAAAGGGGGGAGTAAATTTATTTCCATTCTGAATGACATTGGCCCACAAGGGAGTGTGTGTCACTTTTGCACAAGCAAAATCAACATTGAATATTTGCACTTGGCGGTGCGTGGCTTGTCTACTCCTCATCCACTTACGTAGCACTGAGTTGGATGACTGAGCTGGTTGTGGCACTTCTCTCTGACGCAGTCTGGAGTTGGGGGAAGGAGAACCATTTCGAGAAAATTATTTTATATATATATATATATTTGTGTGTATGTGTCTTCATGCACTAGTGGGCAACTCTTATGCGTAAATGCGCTAGCAGTGAGACACTGGCTTAATCTCTTATGAAGTGCACACACCCATTGGACAGAATAACTTGCTCTTCTTTTCATTTCCTCCTAAGGGATAAAACGGGACGCAAAAAAAACAAATAAATAAATATAAAATAAAAATAAAAGTGAGCCCCGTCACCTTTTTGTTGTGCGTGTACCTACGTTATTATGTTGTTATTTTATTATTTTTTTTTTTTTTGTATTACTTTTCTTGGTTCCGCTGGCTACCTTCTCCTCTTGCGCTTTCTGCAAACAGCAGGTGCGGGAAAAACACATTTAGGCCGCATTTCCAGCATGTGCAGGCAAAAAGGTAAAAAAAAAAAAACGCCCTAATAATCGGCGTGCCAAGTTGCACACAAAGGGTAGACACAACACTTTTTATTTTTTCCTTTCTATATTTTCCTTCCTATTATTTCCTTTTTTCGCCTCTCCATTGCGTACGTCGTGTGTTGTCCAGTCGGAGACATTCACCAACCCGTAGCCTGCAAAAGGGAATAATTAATGGGATGTGCCAAACAGGAGAAAAAAAAAAAAAAAAAAAAAAAAAATGCAGGCCAACAGGAGGCTTCTCAAACATATAGCCCTCCAACACACATAGCACACCTCCCACTCTCACCATTCTCGTTAATATATTTTTGCAGAGCTACATCCGATGCCTGCTTCAACTTTTTTAAATCTTCGTTGATCTGAAATGGGGTGAGGAAATAGGTTTGGTGCGTCGTAATGGGAAGGTGTACATTTGAGGGACTCCCCTGATTTGATCACAACAACGTAACCCTCTTCACATGCATGTCTTGGTATGTCATGTTCCATTTGTCCCCCCTCTAGGTGTGTCCACACACGTCCCACTTACCTGTATCAATCGCAGGGTCACTATGTCCATCGACTTCTGTATCAGGTCCTTGTACAACTTGTACTCCTTGATCCTGCCCATGGCTTCGAACTTTAACTTCAGTTCTTTCTGTGGGGTGGGACGTGTTAGATTGTGTATGAAGCTTACGTTTAATCGCGCCGCGCTCCTTGTACCTATCACCCTGCGAAAGGGTACAGCACCCTCCAGGAGGAAAACCTCTCTCTCTCCCTCACGTTTTTCAAATCCTTGTGGCGATTCAACTTGTCCTTGAGCCCATGAAAAATAACTTCAATGTTCGACAAATTTTTGTGCATTTTTTTATCCAGTGTGTACATATTGGATTCGTAATTCTTTCCTCCTTCCTTGCTTTGTCTTTCGTCCTGCTGTTGACCATGCACCTGACCATGCGGTTCACCCTGCTCTTGACCATGCGGTTCACCCTGCTCTTGACCATGCTGTTCACCCTGCTGCTGTGAAGGGAAAAGTGAGAAAGAAGGGATGATCGCGAAGAGGAAAGAATCCCTAGTGAGCGGCAGAGTGGATAACCCCCCCACGCACCGTCAAAGGTAATCCTTTTACGCGGAGTCTAATGCAACAGTAGGGTGACCTCGTTGCGTGTCCACTACATTCGCGCCACCACTACAATCGTGTCCGCTTTTTCTGTGCAAACCTACCTGGACCATGTGGACAGCAGCAGCTGGGGGTGGTGGTGATGCCTTCTCCAATGTGCTCTGCTTTCCAAGGGAGGCTTCTTCATTGGGGGGAGCTACCTCCTGTGGACTCGCTCCACCATGTAATTCTTCGTCCTCCCTATGCTTGCCCTTTTGCAGGGCTTCATCAGTGTGCATAGCTGCATTAGTTGCTGCACCCCCTTCAGGTGTTGCCTCCTGAGGGGTCTTCCCTTCTTCAACGCTATCCCAGGCTGGGACTTCATTCTTGTTTGGGGGCCCCTTTCCTTTCTTTTCCGTCTCCTCGTCCTCTTCCACATCTTCCCCCCCCTCTGCATCCGAATCTGCATCGTCATCACCATCGGCGTCCATATCGTCCTTATCATCAAGGTCAACATCTGCGCCAACGTCAGCGTCACCATGACTCCCTTGTGATTTCGTTTCACCAGCACCTTCCCCCCCGTGTGGCACGTCCCTGTGCTTACTGTCTCCTTGCTTTTTGTTACCTCCTTTATCTTCACCTTTTGCGCCCTCTGCGTTTTGTTTGACCAGGTCCCCTTCCATACCCTTTTCACTGTGCATGTCGTTGCTCTTGGGCAATTCTTTTCCCTCCTCCGGATGTGCTGCCCCTGACGAACCCTCATTCACGTCAGTCCCATTGTCGTTACCTTTGTGTAGAGGAACTGTTTTTGCGTCCTCCCCAGTTGTGTCATTATTTCGTTTTAAACTGTTATGTGAATCAGTTGCCTTTGTTGGGCTATCGCTTGGGAGCTCTGTTTTTTCCACCACATCAATCGTGTTGGTGCTGTTTTGAACCCCCTCTTTTGCTTCTTCCTGTCCGTTTGAATGGCTACCAGGTGGAGATCCCTTTTTGTCTTCTACTTCATTTGAAGCATTTTCCTTTTTTGTGTCCACTTCTTTTTCAGCCCCCACAGTATTACCAGAGTTGTGCGAAGCTTCATTCGTTTTCGCCCCCGCCTGATCATCACTCTTGGTTTTATTTCCCCCTTCCGTTTCCTCCTCATCCGTTTCCTGCTTGTCTTCTTCATCCTGTTCATCCTCCTCATCCTTTTCCTCCTTTGCATCCTCCACATCGTCCGCATCGTCCGCATCGTCTGTGTCCTCTGAATCCTCCTTGTCTTCTTCCTTTCCCTCCTCTTCTTCTTTCTCCTTCGTGTCGCCCTTTTTTGCTGGTGAGGCCTCTGGGTGTGCAGTTTGAGTGTCACTTTGACTTACGGTTTGGCCCCCGTTTTGGCCTTCACTTTGGAGACTTGCCTTCTCTTCCACATGCGCCTCCGTTTCAGTGGCCCCCTTCTCGACCTTTTTCTCCTCCACCGAAGTGTCCTCTTGCGTCCCCTTGTTTCCGCCTAGGGCGCAATTCGCCTCGCCGTCTTTTGAGGCACCCATCTCAACAGGTGTGTTGTTGTCCTTGCTGCGATCTTCCTTTGGTTCGTTCGTTTTTTCAATACTCTGCTGTTCTTTGGGGGGGTCTTCCTGCGGTTCCATCTTCGGTTCATCCTTTGCCTCGCTCGTTGCTTCGTCCTTGTTCTCACTGTCTGGCACCCCACCTACCGTATCATTGAGCGGCCCTTCACCAATCAACTCATCAGTCGCCGCCACCGCTCCCACCTCATCGTTGTCCACACTCAAGCAACTGTTAATTGTACACTCCTGGAGGAAACTCTCCCCCGATGGAGAATTTGTAGAAGACAATTCCGCTTCATTTTCATAACCACTTGGTTGTCGTGCGTCTTGCCCAAAGGAGGCTCCTTCCGCGGGGGAGAAGGTGCCGCCATAGAGTATGTCATCCGGTTTATCGTTACCCCCCTCGTGCGAGTCCAGGTGGTAGGGGGTGATGGATGTTGTGGGTTCTAAGCGGGAAAATGAGGGTGAAGAGATGGTAAAGGCAAAATGGTAGGGGACACCAAGTGTGAATACAAAATACGCAAACAATCGTTTGAGCAATGCCCCCTGTTGTGGAGACCCGTCTTATCACTACCTCTGTTCCTGAGAAGACCCTTTACGCACAGAAGCACAAACGGCACAAACAGATATTGCATCTTGTACAAGCTGAAGGGGTAACATTAAGGAGGGAACATCTCAAGGGGATAAGGCAAATCGCTTGCCACATCACTTGCCACATCACTTGCCAAATTGATTGGAAAAATTATTTGGCAGATAACCGTGTCGGTGGACATACGACCCCGTCGTCCCCTGCACAGGCCAAATGTTGGCACCGCCTTACCCGTTGCGTCTTTTTTTTTTTTTTTTTGTTGGGTGGGATGGCCTCTCTACGAAGCGCAGCGTTCTCGGGGTTAAACATTCATTTGGTGTTCCCCAGTAGATAGCGACAATATGTTACTCCAAAAAAGGGGAAAAAAAATATATATATGTATGTATATATATATAGAATGGATGGTGCTGTGTTTTTTCCCCTTTATTGGAAACTTGTCGCAGGTAATTCCTACGGATCTGTCTGTTGTGCGTATTTTCCCACGTTGGGGTGTGGATGTCAAAAAATGGTGCAAATTTTTTTTTTTTTTTTCACCTATTTTTGTTCTTAATTTATGAGTTGTTTGCCCTTGGGGCGAAAGAAAATAAGGACATACACACGCGTTCGCGTAAAGACCTGCGTCCACATGGACGTATATTTGCATGTGCTACGTGTGTGCTGTGAATGTGCGCTACGTTATGTGCATAACACATGACCAGTGACCTGCGAGACCGTGAAACAACCTGGGGGATACCGTTCACTCGGCGCTGAAAAGACGTATCATTTTACACGCATACCTGGCACGCACTCCGGGACACTTACTAAACTCAGACATGACGCCGGAAGGACATATTTATGTATAAAACGTGGGACGCGGAAGGGCGGCAACAAATCAGCCTCCTCCCCTTAAAAAAAAAAAAAAAAAGAACAAAAAAGTTGTATGCATTTGTAGTGCATTTTGTCTATTCGTTGTTGACTTCACTGGGGTTAAAAAAATGGGCACATGGAAACGCGGAAAAATCGATACATGTAAAAAATGAAAAAACGGGAAAAGAAAAAAAAAAAAAAAAAAAAAAAAAAAAAAAAAAAAA